TTTCTTTGTTGTGAAAAATACTACACACAAAGGGGAAAATGAAACGAGGGTAAAAATGACAAGGAAAACTTATCCTACCAGCTACAATGTCGGATGTCGTGCAGCGGCAACAACCCAAGCTATAAACCCGGACAGGAAAAAAAAAGCAGGCGATCCAGCAGAGCTCGCTAGATTTCATCTCCACTCGAGGCGGAGAGAAAATCAGAGTGATTGACTGCTACCTATGGCGCTGCCAAGTGGCCTCGGTCACGTGGGTTCGTGACGTATGGGGTAAAAGAATCTTGAGGTCATGGGACTTCCCCTGACCTAGATTCTATCTCTCCGTCACCGGCAGAATCGCTAATTAATGCCTACAGTTCAAAATAGTCATTTTGACTGACCGGAGTCTATGGTGGGCAATTGAACGTAGTGAATAGGGCTTCGTCTGAAGCTTGTCTTTCTTTAAAGAAAATTTTTTTCGACCGTTTTTGATGAAAAAAAAATATTTCTATGTTGTGCGATTTCTGTCAGACTTTTTTTCAACTCAAGAACGATGAAATGACACTTTCTCTTGTTTTCTGAGGTGCATTTTTACTGATTTGTTTACAGGTAGAAGCCTGCCTAAAACTACTGAATACAAGTTTATCTCTCAAATTTTCTTGAATCAATTACTAGATTAATTGCTTACATTAATACTATTAATACATTAATCACTTTATGCATTTATTAAGTTTATTTACACATGTTCCCATCTCCCTTATCAGATAATGATACAGTCCAAATCACACACACTAAAACCATTCGTTCCAATCATATATGCCAAGGTTTTTGCAAATCAGTTAGCTAGTTTGCCCCACCTGTGAAACAAGTATAAATGACAGGGGTGTCTATGGACAAAAAAAAAATTATGAATAATTCAGTATACAATGTATTTTTTGGTCTATATACACTTCTAGTTATTAAAGCAGATATGCCTTTACATATATCTATATACAAGTATGCTATTAATACAGATGAATGTTCTATTATATACAGTAAAACCTGTCAAAACCGACCCCTGGATAAACCGACCTACTGTCAGAACCGACCAATTTATGTAGCCCCGAAATTTCTCCATAGACGCCTATGTTAAAATAACCTGTGAAATGCGACCACTGTCTACTCCGAACACCGACCGCATTGATCGGTCCCAGGTCCAATATTCACACTGAATACATCGACCATCCGACCAGTTGCATCACATCCGATGTCTAGTAATC